GAGAGAGAGAGACAGAAACATCAATGATGAGAGAGTCATTGATTGAGCCCACAACCAGGCATGTGCCCTGACCGGGAATCAAACCTCGATCGCCTGGATCCCAGGTCGACACTCAACCGCTGAGCCACGCCCGGCCAGGCTGGATTTGTCTATTTTTTAATGGTTGGATTCAGGTTAAATATTTTAGCAAGACTATTACATAGGTATGTTGTATACTTCCTACTATATCATATCAGCTGTAACATGTCAATTTGTCCCATTATTGGTGATGCTAAATTTCATCAATAGAATTAACTTCTCCTCCAGGCCTCTATACTGTAAAGGTACCTTCTTTGTACTTAAGTCATCTGTGAGGTAACTTTTTGATATCCCTCCTCATACCTTTAAGCATTCCTTAATAACAGTTTTTTAATTATAAAGAAAAACTGTTAAAAGTTATGAGAATCTCCATGAAGAACTAAAACAATCAAAAAAATAAAAATATAGTCATGATTCATTTCACTTAAGTTAAAAAAGGGGGTGGGGGCTTAATTAAAACAAAGCAACATGACCACAGCGGAACCTACACCATTCACATCATGTGTTTATATTTTGTTCCCTTTCTCTCCTGGATGCAGCCTGTAATCTACTAGGAGATTTTTTACAAGAAAGCACTAATGACCGTCAGCAAATCAGTGTTAGTGTCCATGAAAATTCCAGCATTAAATAGGCAAAATGATGGAAAAAGACAGCAGGTAATGGGGTTGGGTGGGGCAAGAGCTTGAAGTTCTTTCAGGGTGGTGCTTGGCAATGTTATTTCCAGCCCAGAATGAAACTAAGCTTAAATTCTGATAGAAGGAAAGACAGGACTCTTATCCAACTCTCTTGGGTCAGGTCCTCCTACATACACACTAATATGTAGCCCTCCTTCCCTCATCTCCAGGCAGACTTATGGGCTCCGTCTTCTACTCTCACGTAGGCTCAGGCAGAACCAACACGGTGCTGATGATCTGCACTGATATCCCTGCCTCTCTTCTGTTCTTCCCAGGACCTCACAAGCCCCGTGAGGGCAGAGCCTCTACATCTAGATGTCCCTTACACCCAGCACAATGGCAGGCATGGAAAGTGTTCTCAGGAAATGTTTAATGTTTAGAGTGGAACAGTGCATGACAGTTCCGCTAAGTCATCCTTTGCTTTTTGCTTTTACTTAGCCAGTAAGAGGGAGAGTCGACATTCAAATCAATTCTGGCTTTGGAACCCACCTTCTTAACCACTACTGATGGAACAGTTCCCACAGCATTTGACCTCAATGTGCTTAGGTTCATTATGTAAGACTTTCAATAGCCTTTACTCTGCCATTACAAGTCTTCTCCACAATATGGAGTTTTCTCAAAAAATTAAAAAACACTCTACTTTATGACTCAGTAATTCCACTTCTGGGTATATATCTGAAAAAAATATATGCATCCCTATGTTCACTGAAGTGTTATTTACAATAGCCCAAATATGGAAGCAACCCAAGTGTCCATCAATAACAAGTGGCTAAAGAAAATAAGTGGCTAATAATATAATTGTATATATAATATATATGTAATGCAATATTACTTGGCCATAAAAAAGTATGAAATCTTACCATATGCAACAACATGGATAAACATAGAAGGTATTGTGCTAAAGTGAAGTAAGTCAGACAGCGAAATACAAATACCATATGATTTCACTTACACATGGGACCTAAAGAACAAAATAAACAAACAAAACAGAAATAGACTCACAGGTAAAAAGTAACAAACTGGGGGTTGCCAGATGGGAGAGGGGTCGTGGGATAGGTGAAAAGGTGAAAGGATTAAGTACAAATTGAGAGTTATGAAATAGTCACAGGGATGTAAAGTACGGCATAGGGAATATAGTTAATAATATTGCAATAACTATGTATGGTGCCAGGTAGTTATTAGAATTATAGGGGGGGGTCACTTTGTAAATTATATAATTATCTAATTACTATGATATACACCTGAAACTAATATAAAATAATATTAAATGTCACTGTAATTAAAAATATAATAAAAAAAACAACAATAATAAAAGTTGTTTCCGTATTGCTCCCAACCTGCTTCTCCAATCTTATTTCCCAATATTTTGTTCCTTCCTACATAGGTAATTCTCTTCAGTGGTTTTATTCCCTATATGTTAAAAATCCCCTCAACAGAAATGACATCATTTCTATAATGTTGCCCTACTTGGAAATATCTATTAGCATAATTTTAAAGACTTGACTCAAAGGCTAACTACTCCACAAACACTTTTCCATTCTTGCCTCTAGATGTCTTTCCTCCCTTTTCTGAATTCTCAAAGACCTTTGGATGAACTTTAAGCCACTTGTCACTTTCTACCTTGAGTTATGATTAAATATCATAATTCTATACACATGCCTTATTAGACTATAAGCACCTTTAAAGGTAAGATCCATGTTTGCTTGTGTCCTACATCTCTGACACTTAGAAGAGTAACTTGCATGTAATGGACATCTAGTGTTTGTTTTCCACATAGAGTAAATTTTCCTTGAATCGTCCTGGCCTCAAGTCATATTTTGTTCATTCTATCTACTTAGAAGAGAATATCCTCTATTATTTTCCATCTGGCCAAAGCTGACCTTCTCCATAAAACCTTTCTAAATATACATCCTAAACCTTTGGAGGTGCTGGATATGTTTATAACCTAGATTGTGGTATTGGCAATAGAAGTGTAAACATATGTCCAAACCCACCAAATCGTATACATTAAGTATATACAGGTTTTGGGGGTTTTTTTTGTATACCTCAACAAAGCTGAGGGAAAGAATTTTAGAAGAAAAAAAGATGTATAGGCCTGGAGCCTGGATTCTAATACAGTTCTGAAATTTATTACCTTTGATAAGGACCAATTACTTAACATTTCTGTGCCTCAATGTCCTAATCTGGAAATAATAATAACATTTACTTTATAGGGTTACATTTTTTTCAGTAAGGATTAAACGAGTTAATTCTGATAAAGTACATAAAATAGTGCTGTCGTATCGTAAGCACTCAATAAAAGTTAATCATTATTCCACATTTTCCTCATGGTTTGTAAACATCATTTGGCAATGATTACTTACCAATTGGTGACATATGTTCTATTTTTGATAGGAACTTAAATTTAAATCCAGTTATTAATTAATTTTAAGGGCATATCTTGTTTTCTTAAAGTATGGGATAACTTTGATTATTGGGCATATCATATTTTACATGCCAAGAACTTGGCTAAATGCTTTCTATAAATATTTCATTCAATACTCACAATAACAGTATAAGCTAGCTACTACTTCCACTAGATAAAGCAAAACAAAAACAAATATTTAGAGAGATTAAACAAGTTATTAAAGTTGTCTAAGCTAGTAAGTAGTAGAGCTAGGACCATTCTTGAAGGCAAATATAATAGTTGATTTATATCTGTTTCCCAAAGTGCTTAATATGTAGTCATTAACACAATTTTCCTTATTGCTATGCATTTTTAAAAAATATATCTTTATTGATTCAGAGAGAGGAAAGGAGAAGGAGAGAGTGATGAGAGAGTCGTCATTGATTGGTTGCCTCCTGCACGCCCCCGACCAGGGATCAAGCCCGCAACCCGGGCATGTGCCCTGACCGGGAATCGAACCCCGATCGCCTGGATTTTAGGTCGACGCTCAACCGCTGAGCCTCGCCCGGCCGGGCGCTATGCATTTTTTTGCTATACTATTTGAAGCATATATACTTGGTATTATTACTTTTCATTTTTAATATACCTTAATACAGAGAACATATTTTTTCACTTTTAACACACTTTTTACAAAAGTTTATCTTAGACTCCAATGTAAATTCTCTCATGTCAATGACAAGAACATAATATACTTACAGTATGTTTTAATATAAGTAGAGACTTTTTTACTGTTTTCCATGCCTTTGTGCTAATCTATATCAACTTACGTTCTTCAGCTTTGCTATATTTCTTTGGATTGATGCTGCTTCCATGTGATCTTACTAGCGCTGAAAGAAACGCTAGAGAACATTTGCTCTACCCTTTGATTTATCAAAGTGGGAAATGGAGCTCAGGCAGATGGGGAACATGGCAATATTGCTTAGTCAGCGAGAGGAAGAGAGGGACAGAACCAGAATTCTTTATTTGCACTATTATGCTCTTTTAGCTAAGCTATGCTGCCTCCTGCATACAAATAAATGCCATGATTTTCACATCCTAACACAGCCCATCGATGACATGGCTTTGGACCAGTGCTTTCAGTTCACCTTTCAATGCATATTCCCAAATAAGAAGCCAGTGGGAAGACATACAAATAGGAAATACCTTAGGAAGTAAAAGCCCTGTGCGGCGTGCAGTTTCCCACCTCTGTGTCTTTCCACCCCGATGCTCCCTAAATTTAATGTCTTTTTTCCACATGTCCTTAAAGCAGCACTAGTCAAAAGGAGGTCAATGATGGGTGTCTGACTAAGAAATGTTTATCACCCTGTGATGAGACAAGTATACAGAGCATTTAGAAAATATTATAGCAATTTAATAGAGTAATTTATTCTTGTTAATCTAATAATGGTAAAACTTGGTCTTCCATTTTATATTTCTTTAAATTTCATTTTCTTAGTAACTAATTTTAATTATACTCTATAAAAATATTGATCTCCAACAGACTGGGCAGTAGTATTTCATGACAAAAAAACTTGAGGCACTGTTTTTAAGGGTCCAGGTTCAAGTGCCACCAATTCTTCTATAAAGCATTCCTGATGTTCCTGATGAATAGAGATTTTAAATTTATAACATTTGACCTAAGCAAGCCTCTCTCATGCCTCTTTTAACATTTTACCTAGATTAGCAATTATTTGTATTTTCCTTATCTCTTCTGAATAATTACAACTTCCCTGAGGACAAGTTATGTATCTATAACACCGCATAATTGGCATGCAATTCATAAATTCACATTACTACCGAAATCAGCTCTAGAACCCACTCACCAAAGTATTCATCAGCCGGTGGATTTTCCATGTCATACAGCATCTTCTTGGTCAGGTGCTCCAGCTCATCTTCAGGGCGGAATGAAGGGGGACCAGCCGCAGGCCCCTTTGGTACCGTTTGTCCACCCTGTAAATGAGAAAACACACAGTCCTTTAAATGCCATCTAGACATCAACCAAGACAATCAGGTAGTGTTTGCAGTGTAGAGAAAAAAGCACTGGATGTGACTATCAGGAGACCTGGGTTTTAACATTGGTTTTGTCACTTATTCAGTGTCTGATCTTGGACACAACACTTTATTCATTTGCCTAATCTACAGAAGTCATCCATCAGGCTTTAGAAACCCGCGTTTACAACAGCAGGACTCTGCTTCATTCAATAATTGCTAGGAGTCACCATGCACCAGTTGTATATTTATTAAAAAGATAATAAATTGAGCCTCCTTCTTGTGGAGCTTATAGTGAAGTGAGAGAGAAAGGCACACCAATAATTAAAAATAAAGCAACTGTAGAAAGGGCACCATCAGGATACCGATACAACCTCTCACATAGCCTGAGAAGAAGAATTCCAGAGGACAGGTGGTGACAGAGACCAGGACTTATTCAGTTAAAAGAGGTTTCTCACATTAAGGTGGCACAAGGAGCTCCTGGCGCTTGTGTATTTCTGGACCATTTATAATGTTTGAGACAGAAAACGAAACACATCTACTGAATACAGGTGTCCAGAAAATGAAGGGCCTTGTGTTCCAGTCAAGGAAGTTGAGTAATGTTTCTCTTACCAGCACTGCAGCCAGCTAGATATCAAACAGGGAAAGTAAATCAGTAGCACCAACACTGGGCTGGTGTTTTAATCAGTAGGTGAGCCAGAATTCTAGCAATGTAAGGGAATCAAGTGCCAGGTGAAAGAGCACTTAAGGTGACCAACCAAGAGTCCAAAGTAAGTAGAGAAAGAAGAAAGGCCAGATTACAGATGTAAACTAATCTTGTGCTGTGTAAATAAAAGGGAATTTATCATATTTTCTTTTGCTATATGATGACTTGGACCATTTCCAAAATCATACCCCAATATCTTGAATCAAAGTGTTAAAAATAGACAGACTTATAAAAGGTTTAGAAATGACATTGATATCTACTGGGCAGAGATGAGAGTGGGGATGCTCTTCCTTTATGTTTATGCATTCTTAAAATTGTTGACCAAGAGTTTCTCTTGTCATGAATAGTTTACAAGAACTAGTTCAACAAAACTTGCATATTCATTCACCAGTTATCTTCATTGTACTATTATGCTCTTTTAGCTGTGTGAAAACGCAGTAAAGTACAAATCCCTATACAAATATTTCATTCTTACTACCAACATTTATTTCAACAATTCCAAGATGGATATTGATTATTTGTGTGATATCTAAGGCATAAAATGCCTTCTAAACATATGTAAAATTGTTAATTGCTACCTATTTGGCCTTTTCTCTATAATTACCATCCATTTTTTAGGTTTTTAAAAATGTACAGAAAGTTGGAGTTCAGATGTGCAGAAGGCTGAAAATGCCAAGAATTTTTTTATGTTTGTCACTACCTTTACCCTTGGGATTTTATTTCACTGTTGGGCAATTAGGATGGGAGATTCAAAGCAGTGAATAAATTATGACATGTGACAGGACAGAGACAAAAAGGAGAGCCGCCTGCCAGGATCTGAAGAATCATTATCTCAATCTATTCATTGTGAGATAAGAAAATTGACACCCCAAAAATTTAGAGCTGGGGCTAATTATAATAAAGTTTGGGCCGGTACCCATCCTAGACTCACTCATTTATTCAGCAGACATTAAATGTTAAACTTAGGGCTTCCTCTAAAATGCAAATAATGCTTGCCCTATGGAATTGGTGTGAGAGTTAAAGGAGCTATCGAATCACTCATTCATTCATTTGCTTATTAGTTTATCCACTCATTTTTCGTGTTTGTGTCCCCCCTGCAAGCATCGGGAAAGGATACAGAGACGTATTAGACATAGTCTTTGCCTTTGAGAGGACTGCAGTCTAGTGGGGGTGAGAAACATGCACAAATGGTTAATTATAAAAAAGCACACTATATTGGCAGGACTGTATGTAGATATGAACACTGGAGGAATGATTTGCTTCTATTATTAAACTTTAAATTGTACACATGCTATCCACTTCTGGGAAAATTTTACAGAAATACTCAAACGATAACAAATTTGTATGACCAAGGCTGGTCACAGGAACTATATTTGAGAGAAGGAAGAATAATGTAATTATCCATCTACTGGTAACAGCCCACCTAAATAGACATTAACAGACACATACATGGAACATAAACAGGTTTTAAAAGAAAACATTGTAAATTGGTATGTACAATATGAAAAGATGACCTCGCATGTTATCAACTGAACAGATCCAGTCATAGAATATCTAAATGAAGCTCTCATTTTTGTAAAGGAAGTACAGTTTAATATTATCTTCAGGTCTATATAAAGATGGGGAGGGGGGAGCCTGAAAGGACATTATTCAAGTGTTAAAGGGGATCATCTCTGGGGGTGGAATCCTGGCGGGTTTTCACTTTTTAAGATTCTTTCTTTATTTTACAGTATGCAACTGCACTTCTGCAGTTCATGAACTACAACTTTTTAGATGCGATGGATCAAGTGATAAAGGTATGCTGGATACTAATGAAACTCTTGAACAGGCTTCTAATTGGAATGAAGCGGGGAACTCTGAGAGGAGCCAAAGGGCAGAGGTCAGGAGCAGATTGGTGTGGGAGGAAAATCTGCAAGTGGTTTGGGGTTTAAGAGGCAAGAGTCAGTTAGGAACTGCCATGCCATACTGAGGCGCTTAGGGCTCCCTGTGGGCCAGGGCTAGAGGCCTGTGTGAGACCATGGACAACTCTGAAAGTTTGATGAGCTAAACTCCCTTTTGGCAGAGAATGACACCCATAAAGATGCACATAAATTTCAATTTACAATGACAAATTGTAATTATTATTATAATTACTTACAATTCCAGGAATTTTGTAAACCACTACCACTGGGAACACATCTAAAGACCCTCAGGCAGGAGCATCCAGACATTAGAATCCGCTGTTGGGATTATACGCAGAGGAGGGTGCTAATCAGACTTACAAAGTTCTTTCTGGAATGGAGGATGGATGGGAGCCCCATGAGACCGTAGTGAAATATAAGACTTCAATAATATATCTGTGGCCAGGGACAGCGAAGGGATATACTATGCGGCAGTGGCATTGTGGTTGGAGACAGAGATTTAACTATGCCACAAACTTGCTGTCCTTAGGTGCGCTTCCTAACCTTCCACAACTTCAGATTTCCTTCTGTAGAATGGGCTCGCTAATGTTACCTCACAGTCTGTGAGTTAAAGTGAAGCAGCTTGCCCCTCACGCTGTATCTGATAGAGCTTAACCACTCTCAAACCAGGATTACAAAGGGACTATCTTTAGGCTCCCCAACCTGTCTCTGAGGGGCGGGATTACCCTAGTTCAGGTGATAGATGAAGACAAGGATGGGAAAATGACTTACATTTTGTTTTCCAGCCTTGCAATAAAGAGAGAATTTGAGCCCAAATATGGCGTCACCTGACTCCAAATTCCATGCATTTTCCTCCCAACCAAACATTGCTTCCCACAGAAAAAACTGCTAGAAAAGTATGAAAGAGTATCTCTAATATTCATGGTGCTGGCTGTTCTAATTTAAATCAACAGCTATCAAAGAGAAAATCTGATAATTCTTGCTTCCTGGCTTAGGGTGGGCCCTCAGGGAATAGACATATTTTATCATTGTTTGAGCCTAGTGTCTGCTTCCCTTTTACCCTAAATAAAGGCAGCAAGAATGTTAAGTCTGTCCTCTGTAAATCTAAGCAATTCAGATTTTACCCTTAGCACTTACATTTCAAGTAGAGCTCTAATTTCAGAGTACTTACCTTGTCAGTACTTCACAGATTATAAGAAAATTATATCATTAATTTATTCGTCAAAAACACCTTCCTAGCCCGGCCAGCATGGCTCAGGGCTTGAGCATTGACCTATGATCCCGGAGATCCCGGTTCTATTACCGATCAAGGGCACATGCCCAGGTTTCGGGCTCAATCCCCAGTATGGGGCCTGCAGGAGGCAGCCGATCAATGACTCTTGCTCACATTAATGATGTTTCTGTTTCTCTCTCTCCCTCTTCCTTCCTCTCTCTGAAATCAATAAAAATATATTTTAAAAAACAAACAAACAAAAAACCTCCTTACTATTTGCTTGTCACACTGTTTCTGAAATAATACATTCGGAAAGACCGAGAGATCATCTCTTCTAATGTTTCTGAAAGTTATTTGGCTATAGAACTACCCCTCTCCCCAAATGCATAGTACTTAACATCCATGGAATATGTATGGGTGAAAACACGGATTCCTCAGTTTCTAGTTGACTCTCACATGGAAGATGATCTAGCCCAGGGCCTTCTTCGGGATTCAAGTCCCATAAGTAGTATAAAATTTTTGTCACTGGGGTGAAGAGACCCCCTTCCTTTTCATCTCTCTCTCTCAGTAGTGCTTAGGACTCAACATGTCCTAAAAAAATTAATAACTGTGTCCAATTCACTTTTAATAAGTAGCTACTAGCATCGCATCTGGGTAATAGAACATACGTAAAACTTTGTGTGGTAGGGAGTAGGAAGGAGATGGGTTGCGTTATTTTGTTTTTTAGTTTTTTCAAAAATAGAAGGTGAGTAGTATCAGTAGTCTATTCATTGTGGCATAATAATAATTCCTCGTACTTGTACGCCCCTTTTCAAGGTGCCTGCCTTCATTCACATACATGATCTGTGGTCCTATTTTATGGATGAAAGAACTGAGGCTCAGAGAATGTAAGTGAGCAACCCTAGGAAGTACCATCCTTGAAAGCCAGCGAGCCCTGACTGAAACCAGGTGTGCAGAGTTGAGCATTTTTCTGCTATGCTGCAATGCCTCCCAGGGTTCCCACTGTCATCCTCTCCAGGCCCTTCTAGTTCTATTATTCTGTAATAACTTGGATTTTTATATACTGAGTTGATTATCTAAGCAAAGATATTTTCAGAGTGGAAGTTTACTGTTAAATAGGGAAACAACAGCACTTCAAAAC